TTCCCATGTGATCCCCTGTGTTCCCCTTTATTCCCCTGCGTTCCCGTGTATTCCCATGTATTCCCATGTGATCCCCTGTGTTTCCCGGTATTCACCTGTATTCCCATGTGTTCCCCTATGTTCCTCTATATTCACCTGCATTCCCGATGTGTTTTCTCCTGTGTTCTCCTGCTTTCCCGTATGTTCCCCTATTTTCCCTTGTGTTCCCCTGTATTCCCATATGTTCCCCTGTGATCCCCTGTGTTTCCCTTTATTCCCCTGTATTCCCCTGTGTTTCCCTGTGTTCCCCTGTATTCCCCTGAGTTCCTCTGTATTCCCCTGTATTCCCATGTGATCCCCTGTGTTTCCCGGTATTCCCCTATGTTCCTCTGTATTCACCTGCATTCCCCTGTTTTCACATGTGTTTCTCTGTGTTCCTCTGCGTTCCCCTTTGTTCCCCTGTATTCACCTGCATTCCCATGTGATTCCCTGTATTCCCATGTGATCCCCCGTATTTCCCTGTATTCCCCTGTGATTCCCTGTATTCCCCTGTGTTCACCTGCGTTCCCTTGTCATCACCTGTGATCCCACGTATTCCCTTCTATTTTCTGTGACAAGCGTTTCCTGCTATTATCAGTTTTTATGTTAATTTTTTCCCTTTGGTTTCTTTTGTGATTCTCGGTTTTTCTGAGTTATGTTTCGCATCCTCTTGTGATTAGCTCTGTTTTCTTTATTTCTTATGGGTTACTTATGAACCCCTTTCTGGGCCATAGCAATAATTTTTCAACTGTGGCGCTTTCAATATCTATGGGCATGGCTTGAGAGTCCAAGAGGGACCCCCTCCCCCTTCCCAACCTCAGAAAAATACAAGGGATTACAGGAGAACCCCGGTGCGCACTGAAGATCACAGTGATTCACAAGTAAACACAGGTAATTACAATGGACAAAGAGGGTCACTAGGGGAGCACAGGAGAACAATGTGAATCACAGGGAACACTTGTGAAGTCGGAGATTCATAGAGGGCAACACAGGAGAACACATCGGAACACAGGGGAACACATCGGAACACATGGGAACACAGGGGAATACAGGGGAACACAGAGGATCACATCGGAACACAGGGGATCACATGGGAATACAGGTGAATACAGGGGAACACAAGGGAATACATGGGAATACAGGGGAACACAAGGGAACGCAGGGGAATGCAGACGAATTTACGGATTCTTTAAAACAGTGGCGTATAAAGCCGGGACAACCCATGTAGTCTTACATGAAGTAATAACCCTTCAGTGTGTGATGTAGAGAAAGACCCAGGCCTAAAACTTAATTAAGTAATTTATTAAAGATATTAATATTATTTTGATAGTTGTATCTTTATTTTTATCAAAAGCTTTTCCTTGGATATACCATTCGTAATTTCTAGCATTCGAGGCAATATTGCGAAATATTGAGTTGGTTGCTGAGTTGGCTGCTAATTTCAGCGCGGTTTTTTAAAATCTTTCAACCACGCCAAATATATGCCTCCCTAACATCTTTCTCGGTGTATAATCAGGCTAGTCATATTAATATCGTTTTATTTACATTGTTTTCCTACTTATGTAATCTGTACAACTTCTTTGAAATTTTGTACAATTAAAATCTAAAGTGGCAGTAGACACATGCGTTTTACAACTGCCTATTTTATTAAATTTGTAAATTTATGTTTCATGTAACTATTAAGAGCTGATGAAATAATTGTATAATAAAAACAGACACAACTGCAGCTAACTACAACCTGGTTAGTAAAGAGTTACTTCAGCAACGTGATTTGACCGTTTTATTTTATTGGAAACTGGAGTGCCCCCCCCCCCCCCCCCCCCCCCCCCCCCCCTCCTGTTGACCCTGTAATACTTTGACTGGTCTGATTGTCACAAGGGATCAACTGTTCTAGTAAGGGTCGGTTGTTTTTCCCTAAACATCAATGCTACGGGTTCGAAAACATTGCAAATGTGAACCACTACTGTGTATTGTTTTCCCATTTCACACCACTTTTTATAACATACAATTCTTCCTAGAGTGCAAATATATTCGTGAAACTTTAGCAATGCTAAATAGCACAATTTCATGCAAATTCCATTGTTTTCTATTGTTTAATTAGCACTATTTTGTACTATTTAGTAATTAGCGTTTCACGGATTAGAGTGCACGCACTAAATCCGTGAACATTAATTAGTACTAATTAGTACTATTTCATACAGAATCCTTTGTTTTCTATTGTTTATTGATCACCATTTAGTACTAAAAGTTAGTATTTGTTTCACGGGTTTAGTGCGTGCACTCTAATTGCTTGCACTCTACTTTGTTTTTCCCCTATTTATCAGGGCTGATCTCTAGCTTCGAGCCTATAGCAAATTACTAAAATAAAACCAATAATACTATTTCAGGGCTTTGAGTTTACTGTTACTTTTCGTTCTTTTCCCTCTTGTTTGGCAACACCAGATGCTAGCACTTCATGAGAGTAAATTATTAAACAAGGCAATGACGTGTATAGCTCTAGTGGAATCGAAAATCCTATAACAAAACTAACTATTGACATCTATTGACCATCATCTCATCAATAAACTTTGCCTTGCATGTGAAGTGAGCGCAATCCCCAGGAACATTTTGAAGATCTCACATACACCGGGAGACATATGTACGTTGATCTCAGTCAAGATCCATGGCAGAGATCATTATTTCGGGTTTGGCCTATCTATAACAGAAACCCCTGCATAACTGCGTCCTATACTCATACATGAAGGAAGCAATCCCCATTGATCTGTTCGAGGGTTATAAACCTCTACTGAGGCTAAGTTAGTCGATCCATCGTCACCCCCAACAACAAATAACAGTCCATTAACTGAAGCAACCCCTGCGTTTCGTCGACACATACTCATTTCTGACACAGGCCTCCATGTGTTTGTATCAGGGTTATAAGATTCCACGCTCTTTCTAACATGAGGCCCATCATGTCCTCCTATTGCAAACATGACTCCTTCTGCAACTCCGACTCCCGCTCCACTACGCCGGGTGCTCATATCACTGACCAGACTCCATTCATTGGTGTTAGGGTTGTAGCACTCGACGGAACTCAGACAATGCCTTGATGCGCCGTCATAACCGCCGACCGCGTATAATACTCCGTTTAACACTCCTACACCGACACTACTCCGTCGGCTACTCATATTTGCGATAGGTCGCCATTCGTTTAACTTGGGGTCATAGACCTCACAAGTGCTAAGTCCAGTCGTGCCATCAAAGCCACCAACAGCGTAAAGCAACCCGTTCAGCACAGCCGCCCCTAGTGTGCTACGTCGTGCTTCCATTGAAGCAGCAGGACGCCACTGGTCTTTGATGGGGTCGTAACAATCGACCGTGCGCACGCGTAAAGAACCATTAAAACCACCTACAGCATAGATGAGACTGTCAAGTACAGCCACCCCGGCGCGACAACGACGAGAGTTCATCTCGGCCACAGGATACCACTTTTCTGCTTTAAAATCGTAGCATTCGACACTGAAAACAAAAGGTAAAATTAAGGGTTAGGCTTGAAATCTAAACTTATGGGACAGACAGGTTTCGTATGACTGTTAAACCTACGTAGCGTACGTGTTATGCTGTGTCTAAAATCTAAAATCTACAAAGCTTTTCGCTGTCATATCACAGCGTGGGACAATCACAACAGAGCTGGGCTCCAAACTAAGTGAAAGCCCAAAGATCGAATTAGAATTTAGAAGTTGATTTTTGAGGAGGGAGGAAAACCGGAGAACCCGGAAAACCCTCGAAGCACAGGAGAGAACCAACAAACAACTCTACTCACATACAACACCGAGATCGGCAGGACTCGAACTCGGGCCACGTTGGTGAGAGGCGGCGCATTAGCAGCGCACGCCACCCGTGCTTCCCATTAGTGTCGTGTCGGTGTCGTGTTTGAGCACTGTTCGATCTGCTTCACACATGTGAATACCTTAATACTAACAGAAAGTGCCGCTGCAGTTTTTCCACAAACGAAATATACAACAGCTCAATCGGCCATCTACCGCAAATCAATATGCATGTTGCCAAGCACCTACATGGTATTTTGGTTTTTCTCGCTCGAACCTTGGCAAGTCAGAAGCAATTAATATGTCCTAAACATTCAATTTTTCGATGAAGAAGAAAGATATTGTATTGTTTTCAACAAACTACTCTACTCAGACTAAAAACTTATTGGTAGCGAAAAGACCCCGGCCTATGAAACACCGTAAACTGAGCTCGATCGTTCCACTCAATCGTTAACTTTTTGGCGTTCACATCAGATATTAAATGGCCTCAAATTTATTCCAGATAAAGTCGCTAGATCATTTCGTCTTAGCTTTTTAGTGCAAATAATAAAGTCTAATGGATTTTAAGAAAAGAAAGCGTCAGTAAACGACTAGGAAAAGCTTCTTGATTACACGAAAACAATATGGCGTCGCTTTTGTCGATCGATGTTTCGCGCATAAGGTATTTTGTATTTTTCTCGAACTTTGGCAAGTTAAAAAATGATAAAGAATAATAAAGCTACCCAAAACACACATTTCATAGATTAGAGTATGGGGAATTAAAGTCATCCGAGTCATGAGATGGTAGAAACGGACTCGATATGGTAGAAGAGAACGCTGTCCTTGGTCAATTTCACTGATCGTATCGTGAAATGATCGCTCCAAATATGCTTCAAAACCATATACAAATGTCTTTCAACAGACTATGTTTCTTCTTTACTGATCGTAAAGCCTTATGATTATTCCTTCTTGGCGGAGTTTGTTGAACGTTTCTTTACGAATTTGCCCTAACACGACCAACTGCTTGTAAAAAAGAATACGAAGATGGAAACCCGATTTTGATTAGGAACTGTGAAAATTCTGCCGATATTTAGCTTTTCATGATTTTGCTCGCGCACCATGCACGCGAGCACGCTGTGATCGCGAGCAAATTGCGAGCAAATCGCGAACAACAATAGAGAAAGGTGCGATCATTTTGCGGTCAAAACGCGTGCAGAGCGGGTGCAAATCGCGAGCATGTGGTGCGATCTGCTCGCGATTTGCCCGCGGTCAAATGTACACATGTTTATGGACTGCACTGTATATCTTCACGCGTGCTCTTTTGCTTGTGTACGATATCGTCACATTCAACTTAACTTTAATGAATTCGGACTAACACTTACTGGATACTTTTTGATGCACGCAACTTTTAATGTTGATCACCCTGCGTTGTGTTTAGGGAGTGAAGAAGAGTGACATGGTAAAGTGCACTCACCTCTGGGGCATTGGGTTTGATTCCTACACTCGACATCACATGTGAGCAGAGTTCTTTGATAAGAGCTCCGGGGCGGCCGGTTATCCTCCCTCCACAAAACCTAACATGCTAAATTCCAATTCGATCTGAGTTAGCCATACCCTGATTTATATCAGTCCAGTGTTTGTTTATGGTTAGATCTCTAAGTTAGCCGCTCCCTGACTCAGATCAGCAAAGAGGTTCGTGTCGTTTTTTTAGTTTTTTTTTTTTTCCTCTTCTTAAGTAAAAAAGTGAGCGTTTCGTGTTGTTTTCTCGCAGAAAATTGCTTTAAGATTAAGATTCTCACCTTCGTATAGCTTTGGGTGCCTGTCCACCAACGACAAACATAACCTTAGGTAACCCAATGGGTGTCCTGGGTCGTGTTCTGGGTGTCTGTAGCATTGACCTCTGTTCACTCGTCAATAAATGATACTTTAGCGCTTCTATGAGAAAGTCTTTACATGCAACATTGTTCTTGATCAAAGCCTCTGTCTCTACTCGGCTGACAAGGTATTCCCGAGAAAGAAGCGGAAGTCGCACATGCTCCATCAGTTGGGCAAGACAATCTTGTCTATGTTCTGGGTCGTGCATTACCCACCTGACTACTGATTCAAACACCTGGCAAGATTTGAACATTCGAAGCTCATATTAAAAGATTTGCATTGTTATCACCATCATCGCCAATGATCACATTCTATCATCATTACTATCATTAATATCATTATCATCATCACCATCACCACTGCCAGCATCACCACCATCAGCATCACTACCACCACCAACATCATTACCAACATCATCACACCAACACCATCATCATGAACTAACATCATCCTTGTCATCAAAACCATCACCACCACCACTGTTGTCAGCACCACTACTACCACCACCATTATCATCATCATGAACTACAATCATCATTGTCTTCAATACCACCATCATAAGCAACATCTCAACCACCACTATCACTGCCATGCACATCACCCCCCTCACCCCTCCCCCACCATGCTATTATTGTCAACCATCAATAACACCATTGCCACCATCATAGCCATCCTTTTATTTAGAATGTATCAATATTACCTTTTCTTCTGATGGAACACACAACTGATCACTTGATATCAGCTCTGCTACTTGCATGTAGGGTAGACCAACAAACTCTTCCCCATTAACTACTTCACTGAAATGCTGTTCAGCATAGCAATGACCAGATCCCATCAGGTCAGAACAAGAGTGCATATCAGCAAATGCTCTGATGCCCAGACAGTTGGATGGGTGAAGCTGAGCCTTCAGGAACTCACAGCAGGCATCCCTTACTTCTGTTAGCTGGAGAAGGTTAGCTGCTGGTAGAAGGACCTGTTAATAGCACAAATATTTATTGAATGAAGGATGTCAGTCATTAAACATATTTTTCAATCTAGCTTGGTCTATTGATTTAGAGTTTCTCCATTTTATTTCCATTCATCATGTCATATCATACCCTATCCCATCCTCTCCACTCATCTATCCTTTCATCTTTCTGTCTGGGCACCCATCCATTCATCCATTCACCCACCCATTAATCCCTTTCTCCCTACTGTATGTCCATCCATCCATTCATTTACCACTTCCTCTCTCTGTACACCCATCCATTCATTCACCCCCTTATCCATTTAACACCCCCTCACTCACTCACTCACTCCATCCATCCATCCCTCCCTCCCTCCCTCCCTCAGCTTTTCATACACGTCACCTTACAAGGCACCAGCATTCATTAAGCAATATTCATTTCTGTTTGCACAAAACAGTTAATTTACTTCTCAAATCCTTACTATCTTGAACTATTTTTTATTTCCCCTAAGTGTTCAAGATAGCAGGATTTATCTCTGTATCCAAAATAACCTAGTTTTTGTGCAATTATATTACTTTGCAGCTTAAATGGTTACCAGGCAGACTTTACCTGTACATTTTCCTCAGTCACTTCAATTTCTGCAATGTAAACAAAATCCACCAACAGTTCCAGTGCTGTGCTGTCAATTTCTTTTAACGTCACTACATTTTGCTTGCTTTCAGAAAGTTCTCCAGTAAACATGGCATAAAAATAAGGGCTAGAAGAAGCTAACACCACTCTGTGAGCAGGAATTTCAACATTTCCTGCTTTCAATATGACATCACACAGTTGGTTTTGGTGCCTGAGTGCATTCATAACCTGGAATCCCTTGTTACAATGATCAAGATCTTTGTAGGGTGGAACAGGAACTTTGTCCTCTTCAGCAAGTTGCTGGGTGAAATCCATGCTAATGAGAGGGGAAAATAATTTAGTTTATCAATTAAAGAACTGATAAAAAATATCCATTTTTTTATGTATATGTACAGGGCTCCTACAGATTTTGTAATACAAAATTTAAGGACTTTTTAAGGACTAATATTCAATTTTCAAGGACACAAGATCAACAACAAAAAGAAAAAAACAGTTACTATACTGATTTGTCTATGTCCTAAGGATTTTTGACAAGGGGAAATTTTGCCTTGGCTGCAAAATTCAAAACCTAATAATTATTGCTTCTGGCTTTTTTTAAAAGAAAAGAAACAAAATATCAAGATCTAAGGGTTTGAAGGTCTGAGGAGCAGTGTTTGAACTGTCTGTGACTGTCTGTAAGGTTATTGATGAAAAACACAGTATGTAATTCATGATCGTGGTCATTATTGTTGTCATTGTTGCTGTTGTTATCATCATTGTTAGTTGTTGTTATTACAAATTAACTTTAGCCTGGCTAGAACTCCAGTCCATACTTGATTGCAAAATCACTGTCGGGTTTAAAACATAGAAAGAATAAGCCGAGACCAAAAGCTATTCTGGGAAATAACATAATAATCCTTTGATGTGTTCATTTGAGATATACAGTCGATATATAACAAGTTTTAAAAGCCTCTATGCTTTCTGTGAGTGTGAAATTTTATGAACATTCCACAAAATTTTCAATCACTAGATACATCTAACTAACACACTTCCCATGTACCATTATGGTCTCCAGCTTCTATTTTTTATTGTATAGAATGGTCTGAACCCAGGTAAATGAATGTTAATCAAAGTAACAATATTTGTATTATGATCATCAGGGTGGATGTAGTCCTGAGAAGGACTGTTTGATGGGACTGCATGACGTTTCAACAACCTGAGCGGAAGTCATCTTTAGAGTCAAGTGAAGAATAAAGTCAGATTGGTCATATTTATACTGCAGCCATATGATAACAATAGCCTAATTACTTGGATTTGCGTAATTGGCGGCACCCATGTAATGAGTGTGAGTCGCTAGTTTCGGTGTTGTGGGCGGAGTTATTGTTTCTAATAAGCCTATTATACGGAGCCGGTAAGTTCATTGAGTGTTTTAATTAGTGGATGATGCTCAACTCTATTTTCTATGTCAAAAACTGACAATGATTTTGCACTTGAGTGTATAAAGTAGCACTAGTTGATAGATGCCAAACAGGGATGGATTCTCAAGCTGATAAAACAAAACAACTTTGCAAGAACTATTGTGATAATGTTTAGCACACTAATGTCACACTGCAGCTAATGTCTATAAACACCAACTAGTCTACAAACGACATATAGAGAGCTTTGAACATCACAAAAAAATTTATTAATTACCCAAGAATTCATTTCAGGGAAAAAGCCTCTATTGTTGTGCCTCCAGATTTTCCCACTACACAACAGTTCCTTGGGACTTCCCTTGACAAGTAAGCTTAATTCATTTATTCTTCTTACTTCATTATTTCTATATTTAATTTGGTATTAAATTATAATATTCTAGGAACTATAGAATAATGCACTTTTATGTAAACTGTTAACCACAACCACATATGAGGAGTACAGTCAACACAAAAAGTTATTAGCCTAATAAACACAAAAAAAATTGTATCGGTTGGCAACTGGAGAAGTGAGAGTTTCAAAGCTCACATACCTGCGAATAAATAATCGACAGCTAAAGGAATCCAGAACTAAGGAATGTGTCAAACTACCAAGAAATGCGAAACAAGACGACGAGCAAAGATGGCGAGTTTTTGCTGAAGAAAATTGATGTGGTTATCGTTGCTGGTAAATACCACTTCAAGCCATAGATAACATGTTAGAAACCTTCTTGAATTTTCTAAGGAGCGTTTGGTCAGTAGCTTTAAGAAATCGGCTGAAGAGATCTGCCGTAAACCACAGAATAATTCTCCTCCCTCGCCAAGCTCCTGATAATTATTTACAACTATATTTTCCCTTTCCCATGATGCCCTATCAGACAAATACTTCCCTGTGGGTAGGGGGTGGGGGCAACATTGGCACTATATTTTTATTCGAGCGCTTAGAATTATTTAAAAAATTTTGCCTAATGTCGGCATAGACATTATTTATAAAGATTCCGACTTTTTTAATACTTTTGTTTCTAAATTATTTTTTGAAGATAGGTTTTGATATAAATGTTTATAATTAGTGCTCATACTTCTCGCGGTCTTATTACTAGTACTAGGAACGCCTGTCGATTTTGTAACTTTGGGCACAAAATGTGAAGAAAGGTAGCGAAAGTTGTAGGAATATATTTTCGTCAATAAGTTTTCTTCCCGAAAATATAAAATGGACGAAAATAAAGAGAAGGAATCGATAGAAGACATTGCTAGACCCATAAAGACCGTCAAGGTGGGTAAATAGACTCCTCATATGTAGCAAGTTTTGCAAAACTATTTTATTTATTCCATGTGCGCTATTTAGGAATGAATTTACTGACTCAATACTCTCTACTCCTTCCTTAAGGATAAATGGAAACTCCTACCTGCATTCTTAAAGGTATTAAAATGTTCCTGAAAGTGGGTTTTATTCCTTCAAAGTCTTGAGAATTTTGCACAAAAGATACAGTGTAAGATGACCATGTTTTTATCTCCATCATCTATAGGTCAAAGGTCTGGTGAAGCAACACATAGATTCATTCAACTATTTTATCAATGTCGAGGTTAGTATCTTTTATTGTAGACCTATTATGTAGAGACTGCTGTGATAACAATGATTGGGATTGTTCAGGGTGGAAACTGCTTGTTCTGATCGATTGAGGAGGGGAGGAGCATACATGGACAAATTGTTCTTGCATTGCTGAAATAAAATCAAAGAGGAACTTAAGTCCACAGTCTTAACCTCTGTCTGTAGTACCTTAGTCTTGGTACCTACCCATATGCATGTAAAATATTAACTACATGTATCCTTAATTCCCCCTCCCTATCCCATGGAAATATGACATTAATTTTTGATCTCATACCCCAGGCCTTTTCACAATTAGAATGTGCCATTCTTGAACCTTGTTCAAAGGAGGAGGTACTCTTGGTATTTTCCATGAGTTGCGTAAAAGACAATTGAAAAATATACATACCAAAAACAATCTGGCATCATACAGTATTGTAGTGGATAAAACATGCATGGATAAAAGTATATATGTTTTAAACTTCCACATTTGGTTTTTAAATATATTTCATACATTTTTTTACCAAGATCAAGAAGATTATTAAAGCAAATGAGAAAATCACTACAGATGCAGACTCTGTTTGGTATTTAAAGTGAGTATTTCACTGCCTTATGATAATTATAGTGTACAGTACTAGGCTGCATAATACCTGCTGTCTGGTGTTGGGGGATTGGGGTGAGAAATGCGAATTGGAGAAGAAAGGGACAGAGTTGCTACAATATCCTCCCCTCCCCTCTCCCCTCTTTCACATTCCCACAAAGGCAGGCTTTATATAGTAAATAAGCAGAAATAAATATAAAGATCTATAATTTAATTAACAAATAAGARCATGACAAAAGTGTGAAGAAGCATTGTGACGATATAGGTGTGAGACAACGTGATTAACTATGCTTCATTCACTAATCAAAAGCACAATTTAACCAATCAGAATGGGGGTCCCGGGAAACTAGTTAAATCATTTGTTTTTTGTTTAATTTTCCTACTTTAAACGACTGGAATTTCAGCCACTGAAATAAGAAAAAATTTTTGTCTAGGTATAAAATTGTCAGGACTATTAATATTCATGATATGATGCTGTTTCAATTTTTGTTTCTTTTTTCGAATAAGATTCCTCAATATTTACGTTGGAACACCAGATGTTGAAGAATCATTCAACATTACAAAACCTATATCTCCTCATGAGGTGAGCAGCATTTTATTTTATAAATGCTTTCCTTAACATATTCAATAAATCCTACCCTTTTTTCCTTAAAATTCTAGTGTCGCCTAAGAGATATGACATACTCTGCTCCAATAACTGTGGATATTGAATACACAAGAGGACAACAGGTAAACACTGGGAAATCTGACAAGGGTACGGTGATACACCATTCATATTTTACTTAGGATTGCTCTTCTTAAGGTTGATAATCATTGTACTTCCTGGAAATACAATTATCATAAATAATTTACAATGATAATTTTCTATTACAAAGGGTTTTTTTGCATATTAGACTTGATAGCTCTGCTCTCTTCAAGGCATATGATTGTACTTTCTGCAAATATAATTAAATGATAAAAAATTTGCATTAATAATTTTCTATTTCAGAGAGTTGTGAGAAACAGCCTACCAATAGGCAGGTAAGTAGTTATCTTAAATTGCTATTAAAAAACAAAACACAAAAAGATAAGTCAGATATCTAATTTATTCATGACTTTTTAAAAAAAAGTATAATTAAAATTTGATCTGTGACTTAGCCATAGCCATACCCTGACTTTATAAGATCAGCCCAGAGGTTGTTGTAGAGTGTTGATAAAATTTGAAGGGTTGTCTCACTAGGTTTAAAAGCGCGATTACACAGAGCAATTTTCTCCGCATGGAGCATTGTGCGTGTAACCTACAGAGCAATTTGAAAAATGTTTAAGACAAGTTGCAAGAATAATTGCAAAAAGTATAACTACTTGTTCTGTTGCAAGACAAGTTGCAGAGACAAGTTGAAGAGAAAATTGCTACATGTAATAGAGTCTTAAAGGACAGTTTAAAGCACTCTGAGAACCGTGATGAATACATTTTTTTTTATATCCCAGGATTGATCTACCCTTACTTTTTTGATATTGTAATCTTTGTCAGAATGCCAGTAATGCTTCGTAGTTCTAATTGTGTATTGACTGGCAAAAGTCCTGCTGAGCTGGCCTTACTAAATGAATGTCCTATTGACCCAGGTATGACTTGATACACATTTGACTTATATACTAACAGTAAATATGTGAATAACATATTATATTCCAATTAATTATGCATGAAATATTAGGTCAGGAAGACAGACTGCACAATGTAAGTGAATTTCCTGGTCAACTTCAACACACTGTGCAATTTTACTCAGCGACTAATTGCCTTGCAATGCAGTTGCAAACCAAGGTGCTGGAGAATTGCACAGTGTAACACAGGTTGTCTCACAGTTTTGTTTCTCTTTTTTCTCTGCTTAGCATTGTGTGAAGTAGAATGATTTGACAACTGCCAGCGCTATTACACAGTGTACTACTCCTCCAACCCCTTTTCTCACAATGTTAAGGCATATTTATTTTGCACCAATTATTATATTGCAAGTTCTCCCCAAACTACCCAGGCCAAAAAATGTTGCAAGCTGAGATCGTGTTGCAGTGTAACACCTCACCTCTGCAACTTGCAATTATGCTACATTTTCAAGCATTGCAACATGACTTTTACAGAAAGATTTGAGAAATGAAAGATGGAAACTGTTTGTTATTTTAACTGGAAGGAGTGGAGTTTTCTATGTCTCACAGACACTAATGTTTTGATGGATAATGCCAATAAGAAACCTTTTATTTTTCCTTCAACAGGAGGATACTTTATTGTGAATGGCACAGAGAAGGTTATACTGATCCAGGAACAACTCTCCAAGAACAGAATGATAGTGGATACAGACAGGAAAGGCAATGTTTGCTGCTCTGTTACCAGGTATACCAAGCAAACATTGATGTTTTAAGGGTTTCAGTTGATGGGTATAAAGTATATTACTTTAAAGGAGGTTTTTAAGTTGAGGTACTGTTTTATTATTATCAAGTCAAAAGATTCTGCCCTAAGGCTTAAGTTTGTAAACTAGTGCTTCTGTGCACAGCTAAGCATTGACCATTGCTTTTATAGCATTAGCAAAACAAGTTTATCAACAAAAATTCAAGTTTTGTTCTAACAAAATCTTCATTACATAGCGTGTGCTACTCAATCACATCAGTGTGCACCATCCATTTTTGGATGTACGCTCACGCACGCTAATTAACCAATCACAGCACACCTATTTTGGATATGTTACATTGCAATAGTATTCATTAGGTGGTGTGTACCCATGGGTCAGAAAGTGGCCACCATATTGGTTAGTTAATTGTATAACAAAAGAAACCATGACCAAATGTTAAATTCCATTGAACCTTGTTATTGCGTGTGTAGGATATCACTTGTACACCAGCCTTCCCCCGCTTATCATACCTTACAATGACCTTACATGACGTATATGGTGTGGTATATATCAAATGGCATGGTATCTCATAGAAACCTGTTTTCTTTAGCTCAACTGCAGAAAGGAAGACAAAAACAGACATCATCACAAAAGGTGGAAAATTCTACTTGAAACACAACACCCTGACAGAGGTATGTGGTATCCTTGATTCTCACCTGGTATTGATGTCAGGCTCTCAGCATGTGATAATTCGATATTTCACACATATATTGTAAGAGCATTGAGAATGTCATAAAATGCCTGTTTAAGAATAAAATTATTGTTATTATTATTAT